GCCTAGGACCTGCTTCCCACAATCACTCTATAAACAGTCACTTTATTTTTCCAGTCTACCCTTCCCTAAACAGTCTGTAGGAAAGTAAAATTAATAGGTAAGTTAAGGTGGAGAAAGCAGATTTCAAACCTAACGTTATCCAAGTCTGTGTGCCCTTTACACCTTTTATGCCTTCTGTAAGAAGTGCGGAGAAGGCTCGAGAAAGGCAAACTGAGGCCACGACTTGTGCAAAGACACCAAAGGAGCTCCCCATCTTCAAGCCTGACTCAGCACACAGATTTCCCTGGGTCCCCTGCACCCTGCATGTGCCATGGGGAGGGGAGCAGGCTTCAGCCACGCAGGGGTCAGACCTGAGGCTCTGGCCCTCTTCTTCCAGGGCATCTTCCAACCCTGATCTGCACCCTTTAAAAAGTAGCTGGAGGAAACTGGCTGCCAGGAGTGACAGAAGCACCCACAGGCCTGCACGGGGAGTCAACCCGGGGCAATCACGGGGCTGCGCGTTGCCATGAGACGCCAGAGCCACAGCGTGGAGGCGCACCCAGCCATGGGGAGAGGGTCTGTGTCGCTGACCTCGTTCGGGGGCGTGTGGGGGCGCCCTGCGGCAGGCGGGCCTTTAGGCGAGGAGGGCGAGGTGCCGGGGGCCGCCTGGGGTCGGGCCGGGCGCACTTTACCTCCTCTGCGCTGCGGCGGCGCGCCCGGGTCCGCCTGCCGGTCGGAGTGCGTGCCCTGCGCAGCGCGCCGCTTCTCCGACTGCACGATCAGCAGCATGTCGATGGACACAGCGTTGCTGTCCTTCTTCAGCTCCATGGTTCAAACTCGCTCCACGCCGGCGCGCCGCGGCCGCTCGCGAGGCTGCCTGCACTGGAAATGGCCCCGTGCGCGTCGCTGCCCGGCGCGGGAGCCGGCGAGGGCGCGGGAGAGGGCGCTCCCCCGTCGCCGAGCCGCTGCGCGCCGCGTTTCGCTGACTCTGCCAAACACGCCATTAGGGCCCGCCCGGGAGTGCGCTCCCCTAATGAAGCGTCTCTAAGTCACCTTTGAAAGGAAATCCCCGGCTGAGCCGAGACCTGCACCGAGGCCACAGCCGGCAGAGGCCACCCGCCCCAGAGCTTCCCGCCCCGCTCCCCTGCCTGCCGGCCCCTGCGATGGAAGCGCTGGTGCCTGGCTCCAGGGCTGTGCTCTGGCCGGCCAGGCGCGCCTCATCCCTGCCATCTCCGGGGTGGGTTGGGGGTTTTCCGAGAGGGCAGACCTCCGGAAGCCACGGCAAATACACAGAATCGCACAGAGCTGTCAACTGTGAGTCAGTTCAGGAAGAGGAAACACAGCAAGCGGGCTCCAGATTGAATTGCAAAGGTGTGCTGAAATTGGCCAAGTTTTGGCCTTGGCCCCACTCCTTCCCAGGGTGGGATTTGGAGGTTTACTGCTTCCTCTCTAAGAAGGAGGATGGATGGGGTGTTGAGGTCAGACCCCCCTCACCCCCATTATGGCCCCACCAGAACTTGGAACATGCCCACTGGCATCAACTGAACAGTTCTCTGGCCTGAACCGAAAGTCTTAACCTCTCTGTTCCTTCTAGAAGCCTGGCTCCTACCCAGTGGGGAAAGGGGGAGGGGGAGACGAGCGGGCTGAGGCACAGGGAGCAGCCTGCCCAATGTGGTCAGGGAGCTGGACCCAAGAGCCCAACTATTTTTAGCTGGGCCTGGCCGGCCCAGCCAACAGCAGGAAGGCCTTTGGCTCTAGATCTCAGGAGTGTTTACAGCGGCATCTGCCTGGTGGCCCTTGGCACGGTGGGCCCACCCTGCCTGAGCCAGTTTCCTACCTTGAGTTTCCACCATTAGTAAATGCTGAGTACAGGGAGGCCTTTGCTCTAAAACCCTCCCCACTTTGCAGTGTCTTGACCTTACCTTGCAACATGGTCCCTGAGAGCACCTCCTCCCCCTTGGAGGCCGACTGTATTGCATAGGCTTGGGTCCAGTCCCAGCTCCAACACTTGCTGCTCGTGTGACCTTGGACAAGACATCTCCCCTCCATTTTCTCACACATGTCATGGGCATAATACAAATTCTCACAGGGCTGTTTTGAGAATGACGTGCATGTGAGGTGCCTGGCGCATAGGGAGTGGTCCCCAAGTGGTAGCTGTCATTATTACCTCATTTTAAGGATAAGGAAAGGAATAGGTAAAGTCACAAGCCAGTGATGGAGCTGGTGGTCACACCGCTGTACCCTCACACTCTGGAGCTCTTTCCCTGCTGACTGTGGCTCACAGCGTGGCTGTCTGTAAAGGTGGCTGCCTCATTGCATCATCACTGCCCCCTCGCCCACTGGGCATCTGATGAAAGGAGAGGTCACTGGCTTCCAAAGTGTTGAACTGAAGTCCCTAGAGAGTTGAACCGAGGGACCGGTGAAGGTGGTTGACTCCCAAGGCAAGTGTCCTCATGTAGTGAGTCCTGTCCTCTCTTGTCCTGTCTGTATGTACACACACACCTAGGAGGCTGGCTAAGCTGTTCTCTAGATGGCTGGGAAAGTAAGAACTATGGATTATTCGAAGGTCCTGGGGTCTGGGAGATTGCTAAGGCAGCTCCCTTGTACCCCCATCCAACCTGGGGCAGTGTGGACTACCTCCTTGGAAGGTGCAGATCCCAACAGAAGCTTCTGTACAGAATCTCTTTTTACTGGATGGGGCTGAGTCTGGCGGATGGGAAAGCTGAAGCCCCCTTACCTGAAGTTCATGTTCCCATCTCCCCCCTTACGCCCCTGCTTCAGAGTCTCTCTCTCTCTTAGGAACTTGCTCACCGTGGTGCCACCTCCCAGAGCTGCCTCTGGAGAAGGAGATGATGGCCTGGGTGGTGTATCAACCAGAGGATGCCTAGAAACGATCCTTTGGAGCAGGGCTTCTTCTCTGTGGCACTATGGACATTAGGGGCCGAGAACTCCGTGTTCAGGGGGCTGTCCCGTGCATTGAAGGATATTTAGCCCCGTCCCTGGGATTCGGGTTCTGGGGTAGCATCGGGATGCAGGAGCAGCAGCATCCGCCAGAGCAGTTACGGCCACATCGCCCCTATTTCATGGGTTTGCTCCAAAGCGGTGTTCTCACTGTATTTTTGTCCCCCCAGAAACATGCGTCAACATCCGGAGACATTCTGGGTTGTCACAACTGGGACGTGGGTGCTATCAGCATCAGTTGGGGAGAACTGGTGGCAGTGACAGTAGTCAAAAGTTGGTGGTCAAGTGCATTCAGCAGCTTTCAGGAGCTGAGGTAGCTCTGTCAGGAATGGAGAGGGAGGCAGAGGTTTGCCATTTTCAGAGCCAAAAAAGGAATTTTGTGCTGTAATAAGCTCCATAGTATTCTGCAGTGAGGATGGTCAAACTGTAAAGAGGGCTTTCCAGTTCTGCTTTGTTTGCTGCCAAGATGCTGCCCGGCTCAGGCAGTAGCTTATTCTTGAGACCCTACTATGTGTAATGCTGTTATGATAAAAATGACAGAGTAAGCTCAGGGAAGGGGCACCTGTCCTCCTAGACAGGAGAGTCCAGGAAGGCTACTAGGTGGAGCTCACATCTAAACAGTAGCCTTAGGGATGAATGGGTAGGAGAGAACCACAGAAGAAGGGTGAGGGCTTTTCAGGCAGTGAAGCAGCCTGCGGGAGAAGGAGGGGAGCTGGGGGCGTGCTGGAGTTGAGAGACAAGATGACGTGTTTTAGGACGTGAAAGCAGGGTGGTCTGGTTGATGCTGCAGTACAAGGAGAAGGGCTCCCAAGGGGTTGGAGAGCAGTCAGGGCCAGTTTGAGGTGAGGACTGCTGTGGGTGGGGCTTCTGGTGCCAGCCTGAACAGTGATGGGGATCACTCTGACAGGAGAGGACGGAGAATTCACGAAGGGGGAGGGGCAGGCCTGATGGTTGCTGTGGGCAGGAGCAAAACCATTGCTACCAGAGACTGGCCTTCTGGAGAGGATGCTAGGCAAGGGGGATGATGATATGAAAAGACAGTCCAACACCACACTTGTGCTATGTGAGAAAAGGGGCATCTGGGAGTGTGGCACAGAGTGCCTAGATCAGGTGGGGAGCTGGGCTCAGAGCGAGAGCCCAGGCAAGTGCCAGGTGCTGGTTGGAGCAGGCAGGTGAGATGAGGGGCTTCTACTCCAGCTGGAGGGCAGACCCAGCTCAGTACTCAGACACAGGTGTCCTCTCTGGGGGATTGGGCCATGGAACTCCGTAGGGGGTCAGTGAAACAAGGCACTCTGTCAAACTCATGTTCATTGTTGAACATTTAGAAAATGCGAAAGCTATATAAAGAAGAAAATAAAACCACCCAAATCCTGTCTTCTAGAGATAATCGCTTTTAAACATTCCAGTATTTAGCATTTCCTTCTACTACTATATATAGTTATTACAACATATATAATAAATGTTTCTGCGCTTGTATATACTCATATATGTATGTGTATGTATATGCACATATATATATATATTTATTTAAAAAATGAAATTGGGATCTCACCATATAAGTTTCGTATCATGATTTTTTTTCACTCAACATGTGTAATGAATAGTTTACTAAAATCTCTTCAAAACCTGGTTTAAAAGGCTGCCTCATCACCCATTATATTGACGTACCGTAATCCACTTTTTTCTCTCTTTTTTTGGACATTTAATATTATTTTACATGAATTTAAGGCATATAGAGTAGTGGTTAGACATTTATGTAATTGAAGATGTGATCCCCTGACTAGTCTAGTACCGACCTGGCACTATACATAGTTATTGCCATATTATTGATTACATTCCCTATGCTTTACTTTACATCCCCATGACTACCAATTTGTAACTACCAATTTGTACTTTTTAACCCCTTCACCTTTTTCACCCTGACCCCAAACCCCCTCCCATCAATCATATCACCCTGATAAACCTAGTACCCATCCAACACCATACATAGTTATTACAATATTATTGACTATATTCTTTATGCTATACCCTACATCCCCATGACTACTTTGTAACAACCAATTTGTACTTCTTAGTCCCTTCCCTTTTTTTTACCCACACCCCCAAACCCCCTTCCATCCGGCAATCATCAAAATGTCTTCTGTTTCTATGAGTTTGTTTCTGTTTTGTTTGTTAATTTTGTTCTTAGATCCCACATATAAGTGAAATCACATTGCATCTGTCTTTCTCTGTCTTATCCTCCAGTCAGTACCCTCCAGTTCCATCCATGCTGCCACAGATGGCAAGAACCCATTCTCTTTCCTGGCCGAGTAATATTCCGTTGTATATATGCACCACCTCCTCCTCTTTATCCATTCATCCATTGACAGGTACCCAGGCTGCCTCCACATCTTGGCCACTGTAAACAATGCTGCAATGAACACATGGATGCACATG